CCCCCACCCCTTGCCCTGCACCTAAAAAGGAGGCACAATGCCTGTGGGCCTCCTTCTATTTTAGGGACACCCTATCCCTCATCTGGGTGTGCTACTCTGGCCTATATATTACATGACTTGAAAATCTGCCAGTTTAGAGAGGGGACCAGAACAAGAGACAACTTTCCAACAGGTTCAGGCTCCCATACAAGCTGCTTGGCCACTTAAGCCATATGACCCAGCTGATCCAATGGTGCATGAAGTGACAGTGGCAGATAGAGGTGCATTTCAAGACTTTGACAGGCCCCTATTGGAAAATCACAGCACAGACCCTTAGGATTTGGGAGTAAAGCTCTGCTATCCTTTGCAGATAACTACTCCCCTTTTGAAAAACAGATTTGGCCTGTTATTGGAACACATCATTTTGGGCCATCAAGTCACCAAGAGGCTTGAGCCATCATGACCTTGGTGTTGTCTGACCCACAAGGTTTGACGTGCACAAAGGCACTCCATCATTAAATGGAAGTGGTATATAGGAGATTGGACTAGAGGACCCAAAGATAAAAGTAAGATGCATGAAGTGGCCCAAGTGCCTGTGGTCTCTATTCCTGTCACAGTACCTTCCTTCTATCAATCTGCACTTCTGGTTCCATAGGTAGTTCCTTATGAGCAGTTGATTGAGGAGCAGAAAATTTGTGTTTGGTTTACTGCTGGTTCTGCACAAATGCAGGTACCATTCCAAAAGTGGAATGGTAGCCCTATCCAGGACTTCCCTAAAGGACAATAGTGAAGGAAAATCTTCCCAATGTGAAGAACTTTCAGTACACTTAATTGTTCAGTTTGCCTACGAGAAACGGCTAAATGTGTGATTATAAACACTGGCTGGGGCCAATGGTTTGACAGGATGTTTAGGGACTTCCCAGTCCATCCATCCAAATTAAGGCCCTAAGTCCAATACTAGTTTATCAATCCATCCAGGCTCACAGAGCTACATGCAATGATGGAGAATGCAGGGAGATCACAGGCCAGTGGATGTAAAGTCTTGTCGCTCCAGTGGCAGTGGAAGCATTTCCAGGGTTCTTGCAGCTCTCAGCGTGGCTCCACATGGCTTGTCAAGAGTAAGTTGAAGGAGAGAGAAGGATCCCAGTCTCTAAAGAGCCATTTATCTCAGTCACCCTCCAATCAAGCTGCGACCAGATTGACAGGCTAAACTCCACTTCTTCACTCTTAATACACTCAAGTTGACATTGATTGTGCAACTACCACAGTTCAAATCCAACTATGTAGGAGAAAAATGCGACTGACTACTCTTTTGAAGATCCAGCCCCCAAAACCCTATATAACAGCAATTCTCAACCTTTTGGTCACGACCTTTGGGGGTCAACGATCCTGTCACAGGGGTCGCCTAAGACCATCAGAAAACATATATTTCTGATATGTGTAGGAACCGATCCACCGCTCCTCTGTCCATCTTCAGGCGGGTCCACCCAC